TTTATCTTTGCTAAATATTTATAAATGTACTATCGGTCCGGAATTTTTTCGACTGCAATTATCGTAATATCTACGCGCTTTTGTTTCTTTTTTTTTTACTAAACCTAATCGACATTATAACATTGCATTTTGTATAGATAGTATGTCGCGCTGGATTTGCAAATGACGAAATGATGTGTAAAATACACTATGCAAACGCGGCTCCTTGCGTTTTTTTTGGATTAGACTGCAGCAGATAAGAATTTTTCCATAGAAGATCGACGATGTACAGTGCACTATGCTCGTTGATACAGCTTATCGATGGGACTGGACTGGATAACTAATAATTGATCAATATTTACGGAAACTTTGTTCCAACTTATCGTCTGAATTTTTTGGTCGTGACTCAGTGTCCTTGCATCGCGCATAGGACGCATTGCTTGATAACCGTCTGCGTTGCAATATGAAAAGGTTCTTATGAAAATTAGAGTTCGAGAAAACGCTCTAAGTTACGGAGCAATGGCTACGGAGGGATTCCAATTTCGTGAAAGCGTTTCAGAGATTATTAATGTCTTACTCCGAGTTCGTGTCCACTTTTAAATTCTGGTATAATTTATTCCTTTATTTTTGTCCACCGCTTCAGATCATAAAATCGGAATGTAATTTCTTGCCAAATTTATTGTCGCTAAAAAAGAACAGGAAAATCGTACGTTCGCGGAGATTTCGACGTTCTTTGTTCGGTAAAGTTCGGGAATCGTTGTAATTTGTTCAGTTAAGCGTATTCAAATGTTGCAATGTCTTGACCATTTTGCCGTGACTATAATTTGTCTGAATTTATTTCAATCTATCTGTTCGCAATGTAAAGTAATGAAATGGAAAATAAATTCTTGAATATTTCTACACTGACAACACTGTCGAGGCTTATAAATACTATTAGTTGGCAACAGCGGCTCGTAAAAGATATCTAAAACTGAAACTTTTACAATCGAATGCCAAAAATTCTAGAACACACTTCACCAAACGTGTAACGCGTTTCAGAAATTCTATTCCGATGTTACTTCGCTCTAAACAATTAGCGTTTGCAACGAAAATGGCAAAATCAAAATTCCCATTAACATTGATCACAGTTTCCGTTCGGTTTCGGTTTACTTGTAATCTAATGCTCTCGCTATGGTCGTGTTGCAACGCGAAAGCTCAACAAATGTTAAAAATGTAATCAACCGTGCGTTAATGATTTTATCAATTTCGTCGCAAGGTTTACGATTTATAGTTACGAATATCAGGATCAAACGTTGACATAAACTACGACGATCGTGCAGTTCAATCTCGCGCGTTTCTTATCTACGTTTCTTTTCGAACTGCGTGCCGCTGGAGATTCACGAGGGTTCTGCGAAATTTCACGCGGAGAAATTCCTTTTTTTTTTCGCGCGGGATTCGATTTCAAAGGATTTCGCCGCTTCGATTTAGCCTGAGTAATCAATTGCTGGACCGATTTCCTCGGAAGCACGCTTTCCGATGCTTAATCGATAGGGATCGTTTAATTTTCTCCCGAGAAAGTATCGAATATCAAAGTTTCACAATTTTTCAACGCGAATGCGCTTTTATTTGAATAAGACAACGGCACTTGCAGGGGAATTTAATAGTATACTGATAGACAATTTGGAGCAAGTGTCTACTATTATTAATGTTCAACAGTAGAACCCGGTTCGTTGTTTTCGTTAATTATACAGTAAACGATGTTATATAATTGGTGACGGCTAACGAATTATTTCGCCGCTTGATTTTCAAGCACGTTAATTTTATTATCGATGTTACAATTCCGTCGCACTTAAGGAGTTCATTTCAAACAACTATATTAGGCTAATGCCCAGTAATTCTACGACACGTTATCGACGCTTTTAGTATGCTCGTTCTCAAGATAAATTGTTTAAGGATTGCTTGAGGACTCGCAGATATATTTCTGCTTCAACAAATGAGGCTCTAGTTTAGGTGACCTTTGTACTCCTCATATACGTGCGTTTAAAATAGAACCGTGCTATTTTCTAAATGAACCAATTCATTTTATCTATTTCGATAAGTTAATGGCTGCGTCCTCCACTATGTAATATATTATATCGTTATGAGCGCGTTGGTCGGATTGCGCCCCGAGACGCTGCTTATTACTAGACTGCGGATTTTGATGCAAAATGAAAATTAGGTGCACTAATTGCGAGATAGTGGAGCAACGCAGACACCGATTTCCATTGTTAAGGATTTTAATCAGTTGAATATAGTGCAACAGTATATCTTTAAATGCTCCAGATGTTTTCACCATTTTGTATTGGAGCAAGTTGTTTTTGTCGCAAATGCATAAAATCTGCCGTCTACTCTTTACATACACGACAAAAGTAGTACGAGTACGTACGATTTCACATTGGACACTGTACGTAATATCGAAACTACGTTGGTTGTCGATGAATATATTCCAAAGAACATATAATAAATTTCTTCAATACGAAATTGCAGAACCGTTTAAATATTAAAAAGCAGCGGCTGAGAAGATAATTGCATCAGAATTATGCACTCGTGCTAATAAACACTGCACACTGACTTTTAGAAAAATTCCACGTTTTATAGCAGAAACGAACCGAAGTCCTTAACTCGGTACTAGACCGTAATTAAATGAACTCCCGAGCATAATTTTACCCGACACGTACACCTATAATTAGCGATCTCGTGTCATAAAAATTTCGGCTCCGTTCGAATTAAACCACCGCGACGTTGATACGATACTAATAATTTATCGAACGCTGTAAGCGTCAACGGAGTTCAGACTTCTCTGGAAACTTGTTTAAATGTCTAATATGAATTCTCTATTTCTGGTTCGACAATGTTCTCTCACCTTAATCACGGTTTTATGAACAGCAAATGCTCGCGCGTGATTACAAGTTCCGTTGCAGTATGCTTTCGTGAAAGTTTCACGTTATTATTCGCGATATTCGCGACTTCTTCGTGACTGGAAAATTGTTCCTTACAGGTGAAGGCCGCCTGAAACTTCGCCGGGGCTCGAGGAGAACGTAAAAGAGCTTAATAATTCCATCACACTGATTGTGAAATGCATCGATTGTGGTATCTGAGCACAAATAGAACAGAATTCCGCCATTCGAAACACCTACAATTCCAATATCGCATTCCCGCTGCTCACAATCGACAGAAGAACCAACGTCGTGCACCGTTCATTTTGCAATCTACGGCCGGTGTGTTTGTTTTATTTAGCACAATCAGGAGAGAGAGAGTTCGTCAAATTTTACCTAAGAGAATATCATTCATCCGAGAAAAAGATCATCGACGCGGGTCGCAAGGATCATCGAATAAGCGTTAGTCTTCGGAATTTCCTCGTAATAATCTACCGCGTCATTCTTCTGTAAACACGCGCTACAGGTCTAATGTTAGAACAACGATTCCTCCGTTACCCCAAACTGTCCCCGACAGATCACCGTTTCTTTCCTATCGGTTCGATGAACATTATATTCGCCACTCTTGTTGATTAAACATCTTCGAACCGTATCGAGAAATATTTAATGTCGAAGAGCGAGCAACCAGCCTATTTTTAAAGGAGACTACGAGAAGACCGTGGAAAATCCGACAACAATCACGATTCCTTTATCGTTCTAAGTTCGCGATTCGTCGCTCGTTCGCGACCGGAACGTTTGCCGAACGGGTGGCAAGTGACATCAGGCTCGTTGCGTTTTCGAACAGGTCGTCGCACTTCGTGGAACCTGTCTTCGCCATTCGTTTTCCCTGCGCATCGTTGCTACGACTTCTAAAGTCGCCGCGAAGACGAACGTTGCGACATTTAGCGGGAATCAAGAACACCCAAGCTAAAAGCATCTACCAGCACATCCATCGCGAAATTCCTTCTGCTAAATTACAACGAGACTTCTTACAAATCCGTGAACTTTACGTACCCAACGCGCATCGAGTTTAAACGTGTCTCGTTCAGCGTCGACAGGAGAGTATTCGCCGCGTTAGGACGGCGGTTGTGCGAAAATCGAGAAAGGCCGATCGGGTGCACTTGGTTCGATTTGGCGGGAATGGGTTGTCGAGAAGGCCCACGGAGAGGACCATCGACGATGGTTCGCGGCGCGAGAAGTCCGACGGTGAGCGGCAGTGAATCGAGTTTCGATTGCACTCGTCACCGATCTCGCCACCGCCGACGGCCGGCAGGTACCAACGAGCTCCGAAATACGAAGTGGGAAACATCGCTCGGTTCCCGGGTCGAACGAAAAACCGTGTAACCTCCGAAGGGAAATCCCTACTTTCACCGGGAGCCGGGTGACACGGCCGTGGGACTATGGTTCCCGCAGAATTTGACGCGCGACGAACGCTTATCTGAACATCCAAAGAATATTTTAGAAAGTCCGCCGGCCATCGTTAAATCATCCCAGACGCGAGATAATAACGCCGGGATGTCACAGATGGATAATGCCGGGATATCGGAAACGGCTCGAAAGTTATTACTGTCGAACAACTTTCTACGTTATCGCGGTGTTCCCTACGGAAACGGAGAGTCGATGCTCTCCTCCGCGGCGATTATACGTTCCCTAACGGACGAGGAAGCTAATGTATCGCTCCGAGAGCAATCGGGTCGCGACCCGGTTCACTCCGAAAGAACCTAGTCGACAGCACTGAACGTATGAGTGACACTTGACTCTCGAGTTCCGAAGCACTCGACGAACGAGCGGGTACCGTCTCCGGGGGGAGGGGGGGGGCGGTTTACAGTCGGAAAACTGCGACACGTTTCAGCTCACTTTCCGTTGTCAACGAGGCAAGGTGCACAACTACCTTGCACAAGAGTCGGCCGGATAACGCCGGTTCACTTGGCCCGGGTGATTCTAGAAACGGAAGTATTCGGAGCGGTAGAATTCTATCCTGTCGTCGCGTCGGATCAACAACGGAATCCCTATCATCTGTTTCAATTCACAGAACTCGGGCACTTTGTTTCGAAACGCACTGCGCTGGGTTGGTTTTGTTTCACTTACGGGTCTCGTTCACGTTTCCCACGGCATTGATCAGCAGGGGCCCCTGGACAAGATCCTCCTCGAGGTGGGCACGGCTAGGTCGGGCCTGCTTTCTCCGTGACATCCCTTCTTGCCTGTTGATCCTTGGTTGCGGCGATTCCTGGCCGGGTCTCCCGGCCGAGTCGAGGGAAATGCTGCTTAGACGGGCCGACACGTCATCGGTCCACGCCGTGGCGAGGACCGCGCCGGTTCCGGTTCCGGTTCCGCACTCGGTAATTTCGCTGGCAGAGTAACCGATTCACTGCTGTACTTCACCATCGACACTGTCAGGGAGCCGCACCTCCCTGCGCGCGCTAATCCACTTCCTGAACGATCCCATGCGGAAAGAACGCTCCTCTCAACTCGGCCAGTAACACACTCGACCCATCCTGAAGACCGCGCACTCTCGAGTTTCTCCAACGGCACGTGGCACCGCTCTCTATCTCTCTCTCCCTCTCTCTCTAGCTCGTTCTCTCTTTCTCTCTCTCTCTCTGTCTATCTATATGTACGTGTATGTATATAAATATCTATGTATCTATATCTATTTCGCTCTTTCTCTCTCTCTCTCTCTCTCTCTCCCTTTTTCTCGCTGTCTATCTATCTATCTAGCGCTCTCGGTTCTCACTATGCCTTCTGTCACACACTTAAAATTCGATACCGTGGACCACCGACACACACCGGTGTGCGCACGTGTGTCACCGAGCGACTTTGTCCGTCTGTCCACGCGGGACAACGCGTGCGTAACGTTCGCCAATGTTTGGCTTGTCGGATCGGCTGCGTCGTGTTCCGTTGCGTACGTGTGCCGAGTTTACTGTATCGTATATGTGTTTATGGTTTTATATTCTCCCGCGAATATCCGCGACTCTGGTGCCTCGAGTCGGCCGGACGACGGACGGACCAGCTCTGGGCCTGACATCGCGACGCCCCTCTCCTGCGCTCCCTGTCGCGCCCTGGTGGGGATGGAGGGGATAGGCCTGCGCGCGCTCTTCCCCCTCCCATTGCCCACGCGGAACCCCCACCGAAACGACCGGGAACCCCCACCGTCGGAACCAGACCGACGCTCGCCAGGGGTGGGATCAAGTTCAATGTGTACTCATGAATCTGAATCAATTCGATGAGTACAGAGCCCGGAAAAAAGTATTCGTACGCCGCGGACCGATCCACTTCCGTTCTTATTCCGCCTGCGCGCACGATTATCTCGGAATTATTAACGCCGCATCCGCGTCTCTATCTCGTCGAACGGAAGTCGAAGGTTGTTGTTGCGTCCGCGTCGTTCGGCAGCGGCGATTCTTCTTCTGGCTCGCGCAGGGCTTGCTGAAACGTTCGCATCCGTCATAACTTGATGTGTGACGAATCGAATGGTTTTGCTTTGGATTCGAGCTTTGCTAACGATTTCGGAACTGTTCATGCATAGTGTCTTTAATATTTCGGGAAAGCTTTAACGGTCTTCCGCTTGTGCCGCATCCTGGAACAAGAATACTTACTTCGGTTAACTGAAAGCGTCGGACATCTGTGAACTAGATGGATCTCCTTCGCATGTTCAGATTAGAATCACCTGTTCTGTTGCAGTAAAAAGAATAATGAACGTAACCGTCGGTATTTATCTGTCATGTCCAGTGATACCAAACGATATAGCTACTCTACAAAATTTTTTACCCAGGATGAATATTTGCTTCGATACGAAAGGGACCAATAAAGTTGTTGCGGTTGTATCGATCGATCGTATCAAACATTCGTAAAAACTGGCAAGTGCAGCAGAAGTTCGAGATTGGTAAAAGCTCTGGCAGCAATTACGAATTAACCGCGTTCACCCCGTCTTTAACAATCCGGGCGTGAAATCGACTTTGTAGACGCAATTCCTGCTTATAAATCAACAGATTCCGCGACGATATCTCTCCACCATCTCCCGTCATTTCCCGAGAAACAGCGTATCTTCGTTCAGCGAACTGTAGTCGGCGGGTATACTTCGTGACCAGTATCAACCGCGATCTACCCTACAGGCGTTGCTCACAAAACGCCGGTTTGTTTTATAAAACGGATAAGATTCGTTCGCATAAGTGTGTCAGGAATGCGACCGCGTACAGGAAACGTACCTAAGTGGCACGGAAAGCGATTTTCTAGAGAGTGCGAACCGTGAAATACATTTTTTTCTCCGCGCACACGCGTAACACTTAATTCGTCGATACGGCTAAGCTGTCGGGCGCGCCGCACATTTCTGTCGGATTCCGGTAAAACCACAAACAACCCTTTCGTTCATTCGGCAGGCCGAGCTAAACGGGACGTACCCGGCGCGGCAGCGAAATATTTTCTAAAATAACCGGTCGCAGCGAAATAATGGACGCGCCTACGCGTTCGGTTATTTAGCCGGATCGTTGATACATTAATCAGCTATCGGCACTTTCCGCTAAACACGCCCCTAGCTCGAAGGAAAAGGGAGAATTTCCGTCTGACGGGTTCGGATGATTTTCTGCTTCAGCTTCAGTTGTGTTTCTGTAACTCCCCACTCGAGGCTCGTCTCAACTCATCCCCCTTCCTGCGCCGGTTCTCCCACTAGGTGGACGGCCGTGAGGGGCGTGGCCTGCGTCACCAGCGATTCCGCCCCCTTATGCATTATTATAGCAAGCCACTCGTGTCTCTATGATTTTATATGCCGCGTGAATATTCTACGGGCTTCCCCACCGTGCGCGCTCTGCGCTCGCGCTCCTCGATTGTATTCTCGTCGCGCTTACGCGGTTTTTATAGCGCCGTCAGGGAAATGCTGCGAGCATACTCGGCTGTACGGTATGTGTGTGCATGCGTGCGTCTCTCTCTCTGTGCGCGGCTGTGTCTGTAGACAAGGACCGGTGTCGCACTTTCCGCGGACCGCGTTTCTTTCGCGTTAACGGATCCACGGGAACCTATTAACGTTTTAGTCACGATTTTTAACACGTTATTCATTACACAGACTCGATTCTGCGCTGCCGAGAATTTCTCATTGATGAGGTTTTCGATAAGCCAGCAGTTTTCTACTAACGAATTTAATGTGTAACACGGGAATTTGCAATAAGAATTAATATGCGAAATGATGGCTGTTTTCGGTTTTCTGTTAACAAACGTTTGGCACACTCTACAATTCGTATACAATGGACGATGTACGTTACACATTATTTTCTGTAATTTCTCATCTACTACGAAAATGGAAATTTTGACATTTTCTGACATTTCTTAACACGAACGATTATTTTATATTACTTTATGAAGCGAACAAAGAAGGAAGTACATATATGAGTAAATCATTTTAACGTTGAATGATCTGCATGGATTCAGACGTTTGGATATTGGAAATTAAACTATACTTCCATTAAACTATGTTGCTAGATTTTTCGTCGCAAGCGGATGTCGAATTTATTTTGTTAATTTCTGTTATTTATTACATATCTGAACCACGAGCGAGCTTTATAAATTATACACAGCTAGTTTAATTTGTAAATTTACATATTGGCTAATATTCTACGTATGTACACTTTACATTTGTCTTACAAACGTAATTAAATAAATTTTAGGTCGACGAGTTTGAAAAATTCTGTCGAATTAGTCAGTTGAAACAGCTAAATGACAAGATTGGATCCCATGCATCACATTCGTAGTCGTAACTGTTTTATCTGTAACCGTAATCTATATACTGTAACGAGAGAGATTTTAAAGATTACACTTTCGACGATTCATCGCGATTTTCGACTGCGGGATCGAGGTTCGCTTCAGCACCGTTAAAATTTCTCCGAGCATTTGAGGAGCCAAATAATTTCGTTCATTTCGCTGGCGGCAAAGGATGGCCGCTGCTTCGCCGAAGGAACCGCAAGATGTCTGTATCGATGTTTCCGCGGCATTCGAACAATAAAGAAGCCGAAAGACGCATTGAACCCTTTCCATTCATCCCCCAAAAAAGCTGTCCGCTGCCTGACCTCTCGTTCCCGCCAAGGTATCGGCCTGTTATGGGGCTCGTCTTTAAGGTGTCAGCGTGCTTTAATCTTCGAGAGCTCCGTCCCGACTCCTTTTACCCGGCAGTTCTGCTTTGAAGCGTCCGCTTATACTCTATCATGCGATGCCGGAGGGGGAGAACAGGTGGATTGTAGGAGTATCGACGATTTCGTGGGAGTGAGGGGCGGTTTCGGGCAAGGCGAGAAGGTCCAAGGTTCAGGTGCTGCCGAAGATCCGCCCGTTGCATGCACTTTTATTGCTCAAAGCACGTTCTCTGTTGATTCTTCTGGCTTGCGTTTTAGCTCTACAGGGTGGCGATGGCTGTTCGGGAGCCACGAAGGTACGATGAGTACATTGTAACCCCTTATGCGACTAGTCCGTGACAAATATTTCGTACGCCATTTTGTTTCACTTTCGTTGAATAATTTTTTCTTTAAATAAAGACATTTCGTTACCTATCGAACCATTTAATAACAGGAAGACGATAGGCAATTTTTCAACCAGATTCTTGAATTCCTTGGTGCATTTAAGAAGCAGAAGAAAATAAAATTTGAAGCACGCGTTCCTGAATATACTGAATTGTGTTGCAGAAATAATTTGCAGTAGACTATGCAGAACTTTTTTTTAAACAGCTACGAAGACAAGAAGAAACTCGTACGGTTAAGAGCTCGCGCGCTATATTATGCTATTATTTAATATATAGTATTATTAGTATAATAGTACATTTCAATTATTTTAATTTATTCACTGTTGTAAATTGCTCCGCGGTCTATTTATTATTACGTCACATAATCCTAGTCAAATTAACTTTGATGGTAAACAAATACACTTAGAAAACGTTCAACAATTTCAACATTTCGAATTGCTATTCTTTTCTTGTGTTAAATAAGTTTGTAATATACCTAATATTGCTTGTATGTTCCAACTGACCAATTTATCAATTTTTAATCAGTATTATCTCACGTTCTCTTGATTCTCATCATTTTTATTAATCATTTCTCGTGCACATCAATTCCAATTCCAAAATGCATGTCATTTACACTAATTCAGTTCGTGTCTCATCGATTTAGTCACACAGCGCGAACTCCTCTCTAGAAATTGTTTAATAGCCCATATTAAATAATGTCTTTATAATAAATTCGATACAATCGATGATCCATTGGACGCATATATTATTCGCAACTCGAAAGAAGGGTAACATTAAATACTTCGTAAATCACACAGAACCTCGCGGAACGTATATTTGCATGCGCATCGAGGGCGGCGAAATTCAGACACTCGCTAAACGAACGACAAACACGCTCCGAACATTAGCACTCGATGCCGACGGTTTTCCTTTTGTTTCGAATCACTTAACGGCCGGTAATTTTTGCGCAACGATTTCGGGCTCATCGTCCAAGTAAAACCGGAAAGTGTGCGACCGGACAGGCGCCGGCGCCGGTTTTGACACCTGCGGCGAAGAAATTTCACCCCCGCCTACCTGTTTCATACAACCTTCCTCAAACAATGTTTCAACCTTTCGGGGAGCCGGGTAGAAG